GGAGTGGCATTTAATACACAGAGCCGTAGATCACTGCTATATCGCGTTCATAATCGCAGATGAGTCGCATTCGATTATGAACGCGATATTGGAACGCGTTCATTCGATTATGAACACGATATTGCGTAGCTTGTCAGTGTAAGTGTTTTTAATTATGCCATTAATGTTTTTTTTAATACAGCGTATAGCACTAGTCAACTATATGAATGTAACATGGCAAAGATGAATGCACTTTTGGAAGTTGAATGTAAGAGCAATGACATTTTGGAATTTCTGTGGTTTAATGTGATATTGTTGTTCATGTATGTTCATGATGAAATTTTCTTTTATTGTTGTAATTAATTTATAGCATTAACAAGATGACCCGTTGAATTCTTTTTGGAGCTATGACTGATGAATGTATTTTTAGTCCAGTGCCTGCATATAAGATTAGTATTGACCAAGTTCAGAGGCTATCATATGTGGATCAACTTACTATGTTGTGTATTTTCAACAGTTTCAATATGAAAAATAACTTTTATATTGATTCAATGGATTTTTTGCATTTTGACAAAAAAAAAACGTGTCATGGTGTAATGAGGGTGAGGCGGAAGCCGAGGAAGAATCCATATGTGGAAGTTTATTGAAGCAGTCCAACAAAACCAAACTCGGGGTCAGTAAAAACAGGCAATGAGGTCAAAAACACAGTAAGGCAGTCCAACATCCTAGTTTTCCTCATCTATTTTGTACTTTGTGATCAACAAGCAAACAAAAAAATTAGGGCTGCACGATAAATCGCATGTGATTGTCATGCGCATCTCGTCAGTAAAGCCGGTTCTGTGATTAATAGTAAATATCCATCACGTACTTTCAGATGGAACGGCATTTAATACACAGAGCCGTAGATCACTGCTATATCGTGTTCATAATCGCAGATGAGTCACATTCGATTATGAACGCGATATTGCGTAGTGTTGTAATTAATTTATAGCATTAACAAGATGACCCGTTGAATTCTTTTTGGAGCGATGACTGATTGAATGTATTTTTAGTCCAGTGCCTGCATATAAGATTAGTATTGACCAAGTTCAGAGGCTGTCATATGTGGATCAACTTACTATGTTGTGTATTTTCAACAGTTTCAATATGAAAAATAACTTTTATATTGATTCAATGGATTTATTGCATTTTGGGAAAAAAAATGTGTCATGGATTTATTGCATTTTGGGAAAAAAATTATGCAATTTTATAATAAATCTTTGAAAATCAAAATCTGGATTTAAATTTGTTTATGTTATTATAACCTAAAGATGCTATGTGAAAGTTTGAAACAGAAAATAGTGGTTTTCATCTTGCCACTTTCTTGGTAAAGAAAACACAGTTTTACTCAAATTAATCAAAATGGATTTATAGCATTTTGGAACCAAACTCTTCTATATATATATTATTGTTGTAGAGCATTGTAGAGGATTCATTTTTAGAATAGTTTCAACTATAAATTTTAATTGCCGTTAAGCATTAAGATCAATAAAGTTCTGCACACATTTAATATTACAACCTACTGTTAGACAAATAAACAATATTATTTTACAGAATTGTGTGGAAAAGAAATATATAAACATTATTTAATTGTTGTGTTCCACAGAATAAATAGTATATAGTCGTAAGCAGTATCTGTTCAAATTATTTTTTCTTTTAAATACTGTAATTTTTCAGACCAACCCAACTCCTATCCAAACTCATGCCGGCAAAATCAGTCATAAATACTTCTGTTATTTAAAAGTAGTATGAAAAACACATTAATCCCAAACAATAGTTAATCAAACATGAAATGATGTAACTACTGTTAGTACTCACTGATCTTTTTATTCTGTCTCTCAACCAGACTCACCATTTGTAACTCTACCGGGTGAAACTTCAACCAGCTCTTTCTCTACTCTAACTGCAATTAAACCCAGTTTCAAGATAAAAATTGTAAAATTCAACATTTCACTTCCATTCCTTTCTTAAATGGTCGATGAACATTTTGTTGAATAAGTCCATATTGACCCTGTGGAAGCAGTCGTGGCGTGTGAACACTTGTGGAGGAGTTAACCACAGCTAAAGCTAATCTCAGCGAGCCATGCCTGGCACCAGAAACAATGCTAAGCAGCAGAAGATATGTTGGGATTAAGAGGAATTAGTCGACTACGCCATGAGCCTTTCCTCATTTAGATACTCATTGATACAGGTGCCAAAGCTAGTACGAACAACTAAGAATATAATGCTAGGGGAACTACCTCTCTAACCCAAAGAAAGTAACTAGATAGAGTAGCTTAGGAAGCATCTTTATCCTTTGTTAGGGGTTTTAATTTACACCAGAGAAAGTTCTTTCACGCAGTGTTTTAGTATTTATAAAACTCAATGCTTTTTATTGAAAATGCCATCTTTTCTATTAATATGGCACAAATTGGTGTCCTATTACTTTTTTATAGCAAAAATGGCACAATTTCCTTTTTCAGTAGCAAGAACTATTAGGTATTTTGGAAGATTCCTTAAAATTGTAATGCAAAGGAAGTAACAGCATTTCTTTCATATGGTGGAACCGTGGAAGGACAAATAAAAACAAATCACATTCCATTTTCTCAATTTTCAGACAAATTGTTGCGCTGGCTGAATTTGTCTAGCTCAAACATTCATCAGTTATTGTGTTAAGAAAATAATCAAACATAAATTTAAGTTTATCAGCAACTACAAACCAACATTTGGTCCCAAACTAACTAGCCCACCACTGAGGGATAGGGCTGTCAAAATGGCTGAAAAACTAAATTCGAAATTTGTACTTAAATATGATCAATATTCGAATTATATTCAAATTTAAAAGGCATAATTTCAGTTAGGGGAGGGTAAAGCTTTTGGCTTCTCTCCTGAGGCCACAAGAGGGTGCATCGAACAAAATATTATGCACGTTTCTTCAAAGCTTAATAAAATAACACGACTATCTTTGAAAAAATTGCATAATGTTTAAAATAATGTTTATAAACCTTATATAATTAAAGTTGCTTAAACAATTAGAAACAAAACAGAATCATGCATGTATGTATAGTTTAATACAAAGGACCGAAAACCAATCACAAAGAGTACTTTCTTCATTTAAAAACTCGAGATGAAGTAGGATGGGGAAAAACCGCCATAAAGTCTTGAGACATGTTTTTAAAAAGTTGAACTTACATTGTTACATACTCTTGTGCGAGACTCAAGTGCAACAGTGACAGACGTCCCTCTAGAAAATGTGATAAATATGCGTTCTGTGTGAACGGTTTGGTTTCGGTTTTGATGTAAACAACATCATCTCTGCATTGATGTTCTTTTTTCCCCGCAATATTTTAAATGAACAAAGTAGCAGCGCCGCATCTAGTGGGTTCAATTGATAGACTAACAAAAACATTAAAATGCAACGACACTTACATCATCGTCGCATTTCGTGCGCCACTGATAAGGCTGCCTGACGCACACCTAAAATTCAAATGCAACGTTTTTGCATTCGAATGTGGATTTTTATTTTAAATTCGACGAATATTCGATATTCAAATTTTTTTTTTGACAGCCCTACTGAGGGATATCATAATTTAGGCTAAATCTGCAATCCTGTTATCTACTCCTGCAACATTTTTTCTCTTGGCATTGGTTCCTTTCACCCTTTGTTGTAAAAAGAACAAAACTCCGACTTAATTTTCAAGCCAAATTTTCATACCCATTTGTAGAAAGTAGCAATTAAGATACTATGTTTCAGGATATACAATGCAATCAAAAGGAGCATGTTGGCCTACCTGCTTTTTGGTAGAAACCTGCACAAGTTAAAGAAACAACCATATCTGTTATAAAATCTCATTTAAGCATGATAGGACATTATCGTCATTACTTATGCCAAGTCATTAGCCTTCTAAACAGCGAGGCCACACAGCATGTAACTGAGTACATGTACAGCTCAATGTAAAGTGCCCAAGGATCTTCCACAGATGTTCAATAATGAAGTGAGATTCTATATGTTACAAAACTCCATGACACAGATACACAGGAGAAACCGAAAGATAAGACTAGCCCACCTCATCCCTCACAAATTACAAGACATCGGGTGTGAGTGTGTAACATGACCTTCCCTACCTAGGGTACTTAGAGGTTATTATGAGGTGCATTAGTGTATGAATTTTTAAGTGGCCCTTGCTAAGCAAGCATCACTGTTACTGCTCATACAGGTTTGAGGCATTAATGATAATGGACTCTTTTCATTTGAGCTGGTAAGTAACCACCTAGCAACCTCCCAGAACACCTTAACATTTTGGCATAAAGTTCGCATTTACAAGCAATACTTACTATTTTTCCAATAAATAAATAAATTATTGTGTTTGCAAAGAATATGTGTAAAGAACTAGGTCAAGAATGAAAAGTTAAGGCTATACTGTAAGAAAAAAAAATGTGCAAAAATTGTACATTTAGGTGTACAACAGCTTCTCACTGGGGCAGTACCCTTGAAAGGACACCTTTGTACCTTCTTTACCCATAAAGGGGGCATATTACTACTTTAGAGTGGTAATAGGTAACCTTCAGGTAACAATATAAACTCTTATAGTACTATTAAGGGTACTGTCCCATGCAAAGCTATTGTAACTCAAAAGGTACAATCTATGCACTTTTTTGAGAGTGTATGCATGTTTGCATTAATTTTGTACATTATTTGCTTAAACCATGCTGGTACATAAGGACAGATTAACATTACATAGCAACATTCCGTCAGTTGACCATATGTCCTGTTTTTTCCCAGACATGTCCTGGCCGAGATTTCCAAATTCCCTAAAATGTCCAGATTTTGGCTTTGTTTATACAATTGACATTCTCTCAGTCCTCATTCATTGTATGCATGCATATTTGCATTGCTTTGACCATTCTTTGTAGATCCCACCTTCTTGCATGCCACAATTCATCAATTATGTACAATCCCTGCACACTATTGGTCAAACTACTTTTCAGTCATTACCTTCAGCAAATATGAAAAAAAAAACAGACATTTTAATCAAAGAAAAGCATGTATGGTCACCCTACATTACTTTAAACACACATGAAAGAATTCACTAAGAATGATAGCTGGTACGATTTTATTTGCACATGTTGTCTGGCTGGTTTAGCATCCAGTTCAGTAAAAATGCTAAAATTGTGTACTGCACCACACATCTGGATATGCTTGGTTATAATTATTTTCTCCATCATTTACTGAATTATTGCAACCATAATCACAACAGAATTTACACAAATATCTCTTCTTAATAAAGTTTTGTTAGGAAGGTAAAAGGAAAATAGCAATGTTTTTTGTAAATATGGTACAATCTATAACAATCATAATTTGCATACAAAGAAGGTGAGTTTGCCTTAATTTAAATATGGCGCAGCACTATTTCAGTGCATTTAGCACCTGGCTAAACTGTATTGTGAGTGCAGGGTTTTGCACTGAAGTACTGTGCACAAAAATACTGGCACAATTATAAATGTAGTGCAATAGTGAATTCACTATACATTTGCATACCTGTTTTGCCCAGATGTCATCTTTGCCTGCTTTGCATCCAGAGAGCAACTTTATGAATGGGCTCAGCACTCTGAAACATTTCAAGATAATACATTTTGCACTATGGTAAGTTTCCTTATTTCACCTTTTTAAAGAACAAAAGTTGAAGCAACTTGAGGAGAGTGAGGAAACAGGAGCCAGGTCTGCCAGAGGAAGAAAGGAGACCTGAGCTAATTTACAAGGCTGTGAGTGGGTTGAAGTTTCAGTTTAACCTTTGCAGGGCAAAGCATGCAGAGGAAAAAGAAGTTGAAAGACTCATTTTAAGACACCATTACATTGACAACAAATGATCCTTAAGCCACAAAAATAAATATCAAGATAAATTTAAACATTTGTATCATGCACCAAAATGGTGCATCCAAATAGAAAATACAACCATTGTTTTATGAATATGCATATTAAGAAGTCAACAATAGCACATGACACAAAACATTTTGTTAGTTTTTCATGTTACTCCAAATATTATATATTTAACATGTTATATTATTATTATTATTATTATTATTATTATTATATTAGGATAATTTGCCATGCTACTGACAAAAAACAAACAAAACAAAACAAGGTTGAATCAAATAAAATGAACTGACGTTTACCTGAAACTTTAGATGCAAATCAAAACCACATCCCTATAAAGTCTCATTGTGGCTAAGACATGTATTACCCAAAGGCACATGCACATGCACGTACACATTCAAAGCACTGAATTACAGCCAACCCCACACCTTGAAGGTAAGCAAATCAGTCAAATTTGGTTATCTAGCCCTGCCCTTACTAAGTTAATCTAAGGCATTAAAAAGAAATGCATTTAACATAACTAATACAAACTCAAATGCAATAAAGCCAGTTCCGCAGATAGTGCTTGCCTTGAATGCTTACCTTTTGTAAAAACCATGTTTTTCTCTATTTGCAAAGAACTACAATGTGTTTAACTAATACTACAGTGTCTATAATTCTACAACAACCTATAAACACCTGCTTTAAGATCCAAACTTTCAAACAAAAGGTAAAAGCCCACACCATGCAAGTAAACAAACTTCAACTTACAGTTCGCCGCTGCTTCTACATGCTCAGGTATCAATCAGTCATAGTCTCCCGTCACAGAGGAAGGTGACTGTGCTAGTTACTGCCTACAGTTAGGTTATCTCTCTGTATTATGTATTATTCATCAACAAAAAGTAACACAATATTGTACAATATCCCAACATGCATGGCTTCTGACCGTTGCTTTAATGTCACCTCAAAGTTGATGCTAGGCTGAGGTGACCTATGGACGAAGGCATGCAATATCACTTGCAGATGACAGATTAAAACAGGCAACTGTTTGGACACCCATACTGTAATAGGTGCAATGGGGCATGACACCAGGCTATATAACAGTTTTTCTACCTACAGTGCATGCACTCGGTAAGAGCAGTGTAAGGACAGACAGCTTGATTTCTTTGAGGTTTATGCTATTGTTCTGTTCTGACTCAACCCACAATGGCTCTAACAGTGCAACAGATGGTTCTGTGATTGCTACTACATCCAA